AAATCCTCTGGTTGATAGAACCAACGCCCTTTCTCACTGTTCAAATCAGTAGTGCAAATTCTTGCTGACCGTAACAAACCAAGTGAAGGCACAGTATGGAAAAGTGACTTCTATCTGTTCCCAGTTCAGCAGGTAGCCATATGCAATAGTACCATTGCAGTTGGCTTTGCAGGAAGCCATATGCAATAGTGGAGTTACAGTTGGCTTTCCAGAGAGAGGTCTGAGTTCAGGATGAGTGGCGCATCTGCCATTACAAACCAGGAGGAAGGAACAGGCAAGCTGGCAGAGGCAGGGATGAGAAAACATGAGAGAGAGGTAAAAAGTTTTCTACCCTTGAGACTGTGAGGACCCACCTCATTCTATTTCCCTTCCTAAATGAGCCTCTTTTCTCCACGCTATGCCTACCCAAGTGCCACCTCCAGCAAAGAAGGGACATAAGTGGGGGTCAGCTCGGCTGGCATTCCCAACAAAGTATATTCACTCTGTCTCCTGGGGCTTTCGTACGCCTCAGGCACATGCGTTATTTTAAGGGGCTCAAGGAAATAGTGTCAGGAGGCCCACTTTGTAAGTACGTTTATTATTATCTCCGCTGTTCAAGCCACACAAAATTAATGTCTGGCATTTCCAGAAATTGCTATCGATTCAGCAGCAGATTTTTACAAAGCCAATCAATAACAGTTTCCTCTCGCCCTCCTCCCTCACTGGATATTTATTTGTGACCAAGCTTTCAGTTGATCTTCTGCTTTCTAGTGTTTATAATGGGTACAGAATAAATCGACGATTTCATCTTTTTCCAGGAATAAAACAAAAGAAAAAGTAAGGACCTGGCTATTAAAAATGTCTCCCTCCCCCACACCCAAGAAAAGCTGTGTGCATCCGTGTGTGTATACAAGACATAGATAGCTAGATGGCAGATGACAGAAAATAGATGTCTGGATGGGCATGGAGATCAGCCATCACCATCGGCTCCTAAGCCATGGCTTCTGAGCTCTCTCAACGTCCTGCACCACACTGAAGTCCCAGAAAGCCACACAGACCTTTGTGGTCATAGGTTCCTCTATTAACATTGTCTATTTTAACACCATCAACTGTCACTCAGAAATTCAATGTATTCTAGAACTTAAGGCTTCCAGCCTACCTCTCTCCCAAGTCCAATTAGAAAGTGGGCATCTAAAGGCCTGGCTCTTGCTTCTTGTCCCAGTGTTCTCTTGCTATTCCAAAACTACACATGTGCCACTGGAAAGAGCAGAGCGCCACAAACAACGGTGAGGGACTTGTGACACCACAAACCCACTCCTGCAGCTCACTATGGAAAGAAACTTGTCGCTCGTTCCCTAATGTTTGGAGTAAGAACAGGGCTTGTCTTTCCTACTTAGTCCTTACACAGCGCCGATTTCACTCAAGAGCTTTGCCCCTGATCCACAGTAAGAGCAGCGTGTTGCTGGGCAGCAAATGGGTGTGGGCACATGTGGGCACCATGCCAGCCTAAGCTGCTGATCTAAGTCTGTGCCCAGAACAACACTGTTTCCCTTGTGATGGGTTAAATCGTGTTCCCTCAAACTATGCGTCGCAGTTCTGGTTCTGCTTGGACCTCAGACTAGGACCTTTTTTGGAAATCATGTCTGGGGCAATCGAGTTAGGATGAAGTCATCAGAGTGGGCTCTCATCAGATATGCTCGGTGTCCTTATAAAAAGGAAAAATCTGGACACCAAGAGACACACAGAGAGAACATATGTAGATGAGGCAGACAGAGATCAGAATGTCTCTTCTTCGAGCCAAGGAAGGCCAGATTTTTATTAAAACACCAGAAGCTCGGAAGGAAGCCTGGGACAGATTGTCCTCAGAGGGCCCAAGTCTGTTGACATCTTGAACTTAGGCTTCTGGCCTACAACTACAAGAGAGAGAATTTCGTTGTTCAAAATTTTGCAAAGCATATGGTCTCGATATCTAATCCAGCCATGTTCTCAGTAGTGAGTATCCTGAGATCCCAGGACTAAGTCATAACTAGACTTATATCTTAAAAACTACCCTTGACAATCCTTCCCTAAAATACAGGAATTAGATGAAGGCTGGAGACTAATGAAGATCATTGTTGTAAGTGAAAGAAGTTCCACAGATACAAACAGTGCGTGTCTTCTCTCAGACACCAAGCCAGGGGGTGGGGAAGAAAAGAAAGGGTCATGGGAACTAAAGGGTCTACTGGGAAAGGCAGGGGGGATAGCAAGGAAAGCAAAAGAAGCAGATACCTAGCACTACCTGAGAGAAAGATTAAGAGTTGAATATGAAGAAATCACATTGTGTCTTAGCCATTGTTTTACTTCTGTGAAGAGACACCACCACCAAGACAATCCATATAAAAGAAAGCATTTAATTGGGGCTTGCTTACTGTTTCAGAGGTTTGGTCCATTACTATCAAAGGGAGCATAGAGACACTCAGGCAGGCAGACATGGTGCTGGAGAAGGAGCAGAGAGTTCTACATCCAGTTCCACAGGCAGCAGGAAGAGCAAGACTCAACTTGGCCTGGGCTTTTAAAACCCCAGTAATACACTTCCTCCAACAAGGCCACACCTCCTAATCCTTTCAAATAGTGCCACTCCCTGGTGACCAAGCATTCAAACATCTGAGCCTAGAGGGGCCGTTCTTAGTCAATTCACCACATATTGTATGCGCAAAATGTCAGCCGTAATAAAATCATTTCTACGCATGTAGAATACATTCTACATGTATTAAACATGACAATAATTTTAAGAGAAGATGTGGATACAAACGCAGAGAACATACCCCAATTTCTAAGTCAAAAGAAACTTTTTTCAACTGTGGAGGAAGAAAAATATTGCCAAAATTAGATCAAATCAGTTGTCTATGTGGTAAAGCATAAATCAAGGTACAATACAATTTGTTCTGTGATGCGATGAAGTCATTGATTTTCCACCAAAGCAGAATACTAAGGAAAAGCACTGTGTCCTCCCACAATGGGATAAGACCTATTTCATGAGTCTCTTTTAAATGAACAGAATACTATATTTGCCACTCTGCCTCACTACCAGAGAAGACCATGTGATGGATTCTAGCCAAAAGATATAAGTAGATGTGACACCAAGCAAAGCCCAGAAAAGTAAATATGATGGCTAGGACTCAGAATTGAAGAACTGCCTCCATCAGATTGACTGTAGATATATCTAGGGGGCATTTTCTTGATGACTAGTTGATGTAAGAGGGCCCAGCCCACTGAGGGCAGAACAACCTTCACACACATGAGCCTGGGCTACACAAGAAAGGTAGCTGAAGAGGAACCTGGAAACAAGCCAGGAAGCAGCCTTCCTCCATGCTTTCTGCTTCAGATTCTGGCCCTGAGTTTCTGCCTTGGCTTCCTTCAACAGTGGACTGTAACCTAGTAAATGAAATAAGCCACTTCCTTCTCAGGTTACTTTTGGACAGGGTGTGTTTGTCACAGCAACAGAGAGCTACCTAGGAGGAGCATCTTCTGTGCTCCCTCCTTTGTCTTACAGGCACTAGGAGCTCAATGCTGAGAACTGGAGGTGCAAGTTAAAGTAACATTGTCGCTAATTGAAGGGGGGCTACCTTGGAGAGCTGTGTAGTTCCCAGGGAAATTTCTGTAAAAACTTCTCCTATGATTCAGAACAACCTAACCTAACACTCTAGTCCAGTGGTTGCCGCGATCCTTTAATACAGTTCCTCATGCTGTGGTGACCCCTCAACCATTAAATTATTTTGTTGCTACTTCATAACTGAAATTTTGCTACTGTTACCAATTGTAATGTAAATATCTGTGCTTCCCAATGGTCTTAGGTGACCCACAGGTTGAAAACCAAGCCAATGGTTTCTTACTGCTGTGAGCCATATTTGATTGGTTCAATCTTTAAATGCCAATAAGCCATTTGGAGATTAATAAATTGAAATTTCCTCTGTTTGTAGTTATTGGCTGAGCCACCCACTGTAACTTATGTCCACCCAACCCACTTTGGACCCCAAGATAATGCCCATGGCTTCTTCATGGTCCTAAATGGTCTCCAGGAACAGCTTGGAAAAGGTGTTCTTTCTACTTTTTGGTACAAGTGTTATTGCTAGAAATCTCTTTCCTTGGGCCTCCTAAAAACAGCCTTTCTGTTGCTTACACCTATCAACCTTCTCAGTTTGACCCTCCAGAGCTCTGAAACAACAAAAGACAAGCCCGTACTTCCCCTAAACTTCTCCAGGCTACTATGATCAAAGTTCTTTCCAGAAAGCTCATTAGTCAAGCCATCTCTAATAAATCAAATCCCAACAGAAGGCACCAAAGCGTTGTCCCAATTGTTTTGTTGTGTGAGCATTTTGTGGGGTAAAAATTCTTTCAAGCAAAAGGAATTCCATGCCTGGCTCCCAACACCCTTGTAGAAAGGGTCGCTTTGCAGCAGTCTCCCTTTCCTCCAGGTTTAACTCTCCCTTGTGCTGCTCAGTGCTTTGCCCGTGACTGCGGGGTAGAAGGCTTTCCACCTCCCTAACCTCAAAGAGAGAAGCTAGTGTCTGAGGGCCGGCAAACAGACTGTGATGCTGCACGAGAGGAGCTCTTTGCACAAGCTAATGGGCAGGCTAACCTCTGCCCACAGCCGGCCCCTGTAGGGTCTTCTAAACAGATTGCCAAGGAGTGTTGATTTGGCGAATCGATACACGAGGTTTGCTGGACTCCTCATTTCTGTGAATGATTGTTAGGGACTTTAACAACACATGCATGTGCTACACCTAGTGGGGCGTTCCTTAAAAGAAAGCCGTGACCTGGCGGATGTAACACTAATGCAGACAAATCTATTCTCTCTTCCTAATAGTTGACCCCCTTCATGTTTTAGCTGGAAAATTGTTAAAATATGTATATACCGAGGCTTCTGAGTCCTCAAGTTTCCATCTATCGTTATAGTTCTAGCAAGAGAAATAACATAGAATTTTTCTTTGCACAGCTAAAGCAATCAAATCAACAGAAAGTTTAAAAAAATAAAAAATTAATCTTAATATAATAAAATTGTTTATTTAAATTAGGCCATCTGGTATTGGCTTGACTACAGAAATACATTTATGTATTCTTGTGGGAGTATAAATTGAGGCAATTTTTCTGAAAGGCAATTTGGAAAATACTATCAAAAGTATTCAAAGTAGGCATACCCTTTGACCCACACCCAGTGATTTTACTCCTAGGAGCTTTTTCTAAGGTGATGGTGATGTTGTTTGTATAAAACATTTTTTCACAATGATGATTATTGAAACATTATAACAGCAGCAAGTAGAATAAGACAAATAGCCAACAAGCAGAATGGCTTTAAACTGTTATATTATTATTCTATACAATGCTATGTTAGAGAGGCGGTAGGAATTATGTTACTGAAGAATTGTTACTATGAAAAAGTAGCCATAGCCTGATGCTGAGTGTTAAACAGGAAGCTTCAAAATGGTATTTGCAGGGTGCCCATTTTGGGAACACCCTAGAAATGTAGACTAAAGACACGAAAATTCAACAGTGATTTTCTCTGGAGGTCAGGCTTCTCAGTGGCTTTTCTTTCCATCTTCAGTCTCTTCTGAACTCTTCTAAGAATTTTCTAATAAGCGTATAACACAGTTGTGTAGAAAATATCAAAAACAGACTTAAACTCAATGTGTAAAAGTTTCAGTTTCTCAGTGTTTTGCTGTTACTAAGAAAGCGGGCCCATCTCTCCCACTGGCTTCAAGTGAAGGGCTAAGCTAATCAAAAACTTTGCTTTTGACTTTTCTAGCTATTATAGGGCCAAACCGCTCTTTAAGAAAGCTTGAGAACTAATGAACAATTCCAAAGTCAGCCCAGAATCTCTGCTTGGTTCTCTTTGAAATAAAGAGGTCTGTGGAGTTGTTAGTAACAGCATCACCGCTTCTCCAGAGCATCTGATGTAGGGCAGACGGTTGCATGACATCAGCAAGTGATCCCTAGGCAACTGGAGCAGTTCCCTTGGTGCTGCTTATACTACAGCTCCAGACTGGAAAGTTCTGGGTTCATAGATAACTGAAAAACAAGTGATACAAAAGATCAACTGTATTATTTAGTTCTTACTTTTAGTTTTGGAGAATATATTACAATTATAGCACTTCCTTCTTCCGTTTCTTCCCTCCAACCTCTCCCATATACCTCTCTTTGCTCACTTTCAAATTCACAGCCTCTTTTTCCATTGTTGTTGTTACATATGATGTGTGCATGCATTCATGTGTGTGCCTACATACATAAGTACAACTTGCTCAGTATGGATAATGTTATGTGCATTTTTTTCAGGGATGAACATTTGGAACTGAATAACCAATTGGAGTGCTTGTCCCAGAGGACAATTATTTCTCCCACTCTCAGTGTTCCTTACTTGTCTGTAGTTGTGTAACACTGAGACCTTGTGAATTTTCCCTCATGCACGTTTGCATGTCTTTTTCTGTTGTCTTGCTCAACTCATGTATAGGCAGTTATGTTAGTGAGACTTTATGGATATAGCTTCTGACATTTCTAGGAAACACAAGCAAACAGCAATCTCCCTGTTCCTCTGGCTTTGATAATCTTTCCGCTCTTCTCTGTAGTGATTCTTGAGCCTTAGGTGTAGGGGTTGTACTGTAAATATATCTTTTGGAACTGGGCTCCATAACTCTGCATTTTGATTGTGGTTTTCTTAATGGCCTCTATCTATTGCAAAGAGAAATAATTACAAGCTTCCAAAAGAAGGAAGCAAAGAACAATCTTACACAACTATGAAGTCAATGAGCCACAATGATCAGCGTGGCACAATAATGCCAAGAGTGCAGTAGTGGCACACATACCTTGGCAGCAACCAACAGCTCTCTAATTGAACGTAAGACCTGCTCAACATGCCTACCAGAAACCTAACCAACTACCCAGGGCTAATAAAATCACCAATCTTATGGGAGGACCTAAACTACCAATCCCCCCACTCTGAATTTTTTGTGGGGCTTTTTTTTTGAGACAAGGTTTATCTCTGTGGCCAGCACAACCATCTTAAAATTATCGATTTTTAAAATCAGCATAATCCCTAACTACACTCTAAGAATTTGTCCTCAGATAAATGGAGTCTTCATTATTTACTTCATCAAGTAAATTTCTCGACATATATTTATCTTAATTATTACCAAAGGCAGTCTTATTGCTCTATATTATTTAGCTTTGAGTCTTCTCTAACCTCTAGCCTAGATCTATAATAACCAATTCTTAATACATAAATTTGATGTTTAAGATCTTAGTACTACATATACACATATAAATGTATATAAAATATAGTCTGTAGTATTGAATACATGATAGTATTCTTGAGCAGACTTTATGACATAACAATGTTATTCTCATGAAGACAGTAAGCATTTTTCTTAACGTTTACCGTAAGTAATTAACTAGGATGACATAATAATAATTCCTTTACAGATTAGATTATAATAAGCTGTGTGCTTTTGAGGCAGGTGTTTTAGAATGGGGAATTAAAGAAATATTTTGCTACATTTCTGATTTATTTAATTTGTATTTAATTTAATTTGCATATTGTATTTATTCTGGTATTGTCTTTTGTAGCTCATTTTTCCAAAAATATGCCCATGCGCCTAAATATCAAGAATATCATAACATATATTTAATTTAGGAATATATTTACCAACATTGCTGAGATATTCAGTAGTCAGTTTTGGATATAACGGCCCAAATAACCGGTTTTCTTGACCTTTTCCTGGTTATTTGTTGTATATGTAAAATCTAACACCTGTGTACAAATAAAACAAGTCATAAATGCGCAGCTCAACACATGAGTGTCAATCTAAGGCCTGTGTCAGACCTACTCAGATAAAAATTAGTGCAGCCTGCCTTCCAAAAGGTTCTTACGCCCCATCCCAGTCACACGCCTTTTCTCTGTCAGGGTCTGGCAAGGCCGATGTCACCATTGCCATTTCCTGGAAACGCTTTACGGTTTCACCTAAGCATGGATTTCCGAACAGCATGGTTGCTTGTGTTTACTTTTGAACTTCATATAAATGGACTCAGAGAGAGAAAAAGTTGTCACGATAATGGATACTTTTTTGTCAAGTGCAAAGTACGCCCAGCTAAATACCATGACTATCAGTAATTTTATTACGTGAAAATGGATTTTAACCCTTCAAAGCCAGCAGCTAGCGTCACAGGTTTGAAGTTCTTGTCAGTCAAGTCTCATGTCTCGGGTGGTAAGCGCCAGCTGCCGGTCGGGGGTCCATTTGGGCTGTTGGTAACTTCTTATGCCACCTGGATGGAAAAGTACTCACCGCAGGCTGAGGGGTCGACACTAGCAGGCTTCCCTCTCCTGGGTGAATTCCCCAGCTATTACCAAAGCTCTAAGGTCATATCTAGTTAATGGTTGGCCAGAAATCGATACGCAAAGAGCGATGGTTTCTGATAAAGGTGCATAATAAGCAGGTTCAAGCTCAACAAACTAACTGTCCTTTTGCTCTTAGATGTTGAAAAGAAGTTGCTGGCCTGCTCTCTAGTTGGAAAAATATAGTCCCACTCCACTACCTTAAGAACTAATTTGCTTTTTAACGAGGTCCTCGCTTTGTCCAGTCTATCCTGTACTTAGGCTTAGCTATTCAAAGGCCACTCAATATTTTTCTTTCCTTTCTGTTAATTCTAAGGGAAAGTGTCAACTTACTTTCTGAAGGCACAAGACCTGGGGTTCTGAAACAAAACTGTCCCTCTTTGATGTTGGCAGCTACCTTGTGAACTGATCCATGGAGCTCCCGATGCCCAAGGCTCAGGAGTGCTGTGGGTTTCCCAGCTGGCAAATGACCAATGCTTACCATTCCTCCTGTGCAACCACCCATGTGTGTATCTACAAGCATGTGTGTGTGTGTGTGTGTGTTGTGTGTGTGTGTGTGTGAATGGGTGGATGTGTTCACGCATGTGTTAACATAATGCCTGGCTCATTCCTCAGGCAGGCTGTAGCAATAATAGTAAGAATGCCTTTCATATAGTAAATGAGTAAACAAACGAAAGCATGACCAACGATGCACCTGGTTCAGTACCCCTAGCATCCCTCCTCTTCTTGCAGCTGAGGCCACCTGAATGCAGACAGAATATTTTGCCATGTCTCAGGCTAAACAAGACTTATTTGAACAGAATATAAGAGGCTATGGTCTACGCCCCCCAAACAATGCAGCATTTTTATGTATCTGATTTTTGCTCCCAGGAAAATGCTGAACACGAGTTTGAATTCTGTCTGGTTCTTCTCCCATATGTGTTTCTGTGGGCAGATCTGGAGCAATTCCTACCCATTTTGAGGCTCCTGCTGATGCTTCTATTCCTACAAAACTGGGTACCTCCTACTTTAGGACCCCACTTCTTGATTCCCCCTTGACACTCTGATGCCACCAGAGTCAAGATGTGATGTTCTCCCAACACTAGGTCCTTTCCCTGGTCCTTGCTGATCCCCACAAGATTCCCTTACCACATCTGTAGCTAGACTTCCTTGGTTCACTAGCAGCTGGGGCTGCCCCTAGGTTACAGCGATTGGCCTCCCTGATCTGTAGCTCCGCTCTTTTCTTGATTAGCCTTCCTTTTACTTGTAGAAAGGTCTTTTGATTTCCAAAGTGAAAACAGCAATAAACTTCAACAGGAGACTTTCAAATAAAATGAACAGAAAGTGATCATAAACTTTATTTAAAATCAGGGCAAATAGAAAGACAGAAAATTCTTGTGGATAGGAAAATTCAGTCCTATTAAGATAATAGCTGTTTTTTTTTTCTTTTGCTTTTGCTTTGTTTCGAAACAGGGTCATGACCTCTATCTCCTGATAGCCTGGAGCTCACTATGAAGCCCAGACTGACCTCAAACACAATATTTCTAACTCTACCTCCAGGGTTCTGGGGTTATATGTGTAAGCCACCACTAGGCTAAAATGCAATCCTTATAAGTATTCACATAATTATAGGTAATTAAGAATGTTTAAATAAGAAAGCATAATGTTTTTATTAATGAAGAAAGTGGTTCTAAGGTTTATGTGTAAAAACAAGAGAGTTAGGATAACCGAAACAAAACAGAAAGAATAAGGTTAGAGGAGACACCTTTGCGATTTCATAGTGTGCTCTAAGGTACTCAGACAGTGCTGTGTTGCAAAGTAGATGAGCATGGAGGTCACTGAAAAGGGGCACATAGTCCAGACATAAACGTACATGTGAATAACCAAAAATTTAAAAATTAAAAAAATCTGTGTTGTAAGAATCGGATTTCTGCCACACAAATGCATGAACCACTTAGCATCATATCACATGAACACTAACTCAACATGGTCTGTTATGCGGAGGCGTTTGATACAGGAGTGAAAACACAATGTGTTTTCACTAAAATGTTCATCCAAACTAAATAAACTAAATTCATTTCTCTATGAATACTTCTGTTAAGAGAAAAAAAGCAAGGTAAAGAATGAGGACCATTGATAATCATGTCTTAAGAAAGCATTTCTGTCTGTATATAAATAAAGCTCAGAACTTAAGAGTAAATAATTCTTCTAATTTTTAAAAAATGCACCCACGCTATGAAGAAGTGTTTCATCTTTGAGGATGAATGGGTAGCGAATAAGTGTAGAAGATGCTCGGCATTAGGAAATGAAAACGAAACCCACCGTGCTTGCTGCATTCCTATCTGAGTGGATCACTAATATGAAATCATTTCTAAAAGCTAACAATGGCAAGTGCTGAGAAGAGTCCAATATAGCCATCACTCTCTCTTATATGATGGGAATGTAAAAGGGCACAGTTTGATGGGTTCGCACAAAATGAAAATCCCCTTACCACAGGACCGGCAAAGTATGTGCTCGTGTAAAAACCTACATATAGATATGATGGGAGTTCTGATCACAGTGCCCTTGAGAGACAACACCTTAAATCTCCTTAAAGAGAAGAGTAAACAGATAACTCAGGGTAGGGACAAAGCTCGGCAGCACTACATGAACCCATTTCATAACCCTCTGGAAAGGGGAATTAGAGCAGCAGAGAACGCCATGGGTGCAAAGCAGGATCAGAAGGCCACGTGACTCTAACTGGTAGCACAAGGTGTATTTGACGTGATGACCATCCATCCTGACTGCGGTAGTGTTCACACAAACCTACACCTTACTAAAACTCACAAAACTGTACTCTACCCTCTATTGATTTAAGAATAAAACTTAAGAAGTCACCATACTGCAGGTATGTTTTTCCTTTTTAGCCCTATATTGATATAATCACTCTGTATTGCACAACATGGAACCCATTCTAATTTTACAACACTGACTTTTAATATATTTAAATCTGTGTCTGCATATCAAGTTTCAGGGTTGGCTCATGCTACACTGAATTGATATGAAACGTATCAAGCATTGAATGCGACTGGGCATTCCTATCCAGCCTTATATTGATAGACTCACTTTGTATTACACAAGATGGAACCCATTCTAATATTGCAATGCTTACTCTCAAGGTAATCTGTGTCTGCATATCAAGTTTAAGGGTTGGCTCATGCTACTCTGAATCGATATAAAATGTATCAAGTGTTGAATATGGCTGGGCATTAGGATTGATTATAACTTTTAGTATTAGGAGCAATGTAATAATCACTCTTATAGGGAAATACGTACATAAATCTTTAAACTTCAAAGATGTTTAACAGTGGCCAGAGGTTTTCCTTCAGTTTTCTTCCTTTTCTTTTTTCCCTTGCCAATGTCTCTATGATTGTCTAAATTGTTTTCAAGAATGACAGTAATAGACTGTGTTGTAGCATGTATATATTTATGCAGATTGCTAAATATACATATACCTGTTTCTGCAGTGGCATGGTATTTTTTTTAAAGTCTTGATATATTTGTCAAGATATCCGTCAGGGGAAAAAAAAGGTGTTGAATTCCATTTCCAGAAGACAGGGAGCACCCAGCTCCCCAAAGCCTCCTTGCCCACTTGTTGCTATTACATGATGCAATTCGAGTTTCTTTGAAATCCTTCCCCATCAAAGCATGAGGAATTATCTTCGAGAAACAAAGTAACTCTCAGGGCCTGATAAGTGACAAGACACAGGATGGGCTGCATAGTTGTATTTACATGCTGGTTAAAACAAACAAATACCCTAGATTTTCTTGGGTACTGAGTTTTCCTACTTAAAGCTAAACTCTTTTGAATTATTGATTTTTGAAGCAATAATCACGAATGCAACACTGGAGTAGTGATCCCCAATTATTTCAAATCAACCCCACAAAAAAAGTCATACCAAAGCATTTGTTTAGACTTTTATATTTTATATGTGATAACTTTTTTAATCTAGACCATAAAGAATAATAAAGGTTGGCTTCTTTTATACTTTAGATATTTTCTAGAATTTTCTTCCCACTCTCCAAAAGATAGTGCTTACATCACATCAACGGAGATGAACTGTGGACTGCTGTCCCGAGGGAGGGTCCCTTCTGTGCTGTACAGTATCAGATATCATAGCTCCTGCCTTTAAGAGCTTACAAGCAACCCAGGAAAAGGGGCAAGAGAGCATCTATACTGCAGGTGGGAGAACAAAGGGGGTGACTTCATCTAGGGACAAGAAGACCCTGGACAAGATCATGGTGAATAAAAAGATAGTTGAATTCTGTGCCCTGAGGGAGCCTCTCTCTCCCCCAGACCTTTCCAGGTGCAGCAGCGTCACAGGATGTCGGGGCAGAGAGGCCAACTGGGAGACACCTGCCATGTGTGACTGTTGGTGGGTTTTTCTTTTGTCTCTTTTTTTCCTGTTTGTTTCATGTCTATTGTTCCCTCCTGCCTTGGGACATCGTGACACACATTTCTGCTTCAGCAAGTACATTACCACAGCAAAGGACAAGACACTCCTCTAGTAGGGAAGGCTGAACTTCATTAACTCAATGCTGGAGCAGTTGGGGAATACAAAAATATCACCCAAATATTTTTTTTTTCTGAGACAGGGTTTCACTGTCATTTTAGAACCTGTCCTGAACCTAGCTCTTGCAGATCAGGCTGGCCTCGAACTCACAGAGATCCACCTGCCTCTGCCTTTCGAGTGCTGGGATTAAAGTTGTGTGCACCACCATCCGACCTATTCAAATATTATCAATCAACCCTGCAATAATGATAATAATGATGGTGTCTCATAATGCTTTATTGATTTCTATTCCATGGCTGTTGGTGTGTGTGTGTATGTGTCTCTCTGTGTGTTGATACTGTTGCTATTATTGCTGTTGTTTTGAGACAGGGTCTCACTATATAACACTTCACAGCCTAGAGTGCCCTATGTAAAGCCTTAGACTCACAGAGATTCACTTGCTGCTCACTGACCACTAAAGGGAGAGATTCC